TGGATGCGATATTGACTATTTGTGTTTTAGTAGGTTGAGAAAGTAGTTATAAACATATATTGCATTGTAATAGAATCGGTAGTACTCGAAAAAAAAAAAAAAAAAGCCTGCTAGGGTAATTGCATTTTTATACCATGGACCAGGGTCCACCTTGCAAGGTGGACCCTGATCCTAAATTGTGAATATCTAGAATATATAAATTGTGTTTTTAAGTTTTGAGAATTTGTGAATATAATACAGTGTCATCACAAATTGTAAATTTTTAAAAAGTAAATTGTATATTTTTAGACTCGATCCACCATTGCAAGGTGGACCCGGATCCATAGAATAATTTACCGGGTAATTGTTAGAATTTTTCATCACTACCTTAAGTAATTGGTTTTTGTGTAACGATAAATAGTTAAATACTATCTAACCTATTAAATACAATCGGCGTTGATACGGATTCACATCTTACATTCTTACCATTAGAAAAATCCAAAAGTAAATAGTAATGAAAGTGAAAGATGGTGAAAAGCATGTTAGGAAACTAATAGTGTCATTAATGACAATAAATAAAACGACAAAAAAATTAAAAGAAAAAAACGTGAAGGTGGGATGGGAAGATCGGACGGAGGAGAAACAATCGCCGACACCGAAAAAAACACAGTTGAATCATTAACAGTCACACACGGATTAAGGAAATACATCAAGGTGGGACATTAGGATTATCCGAACACTGTTGGTGTCATTAGCACAAACAACAAACCCTTTATTAACGTGTGTAATTATTGCGATTTACACTTAAACTATTGCGATTTACACTTTAACGCGTTAAGGACAACTCTAACTAAATTGATTGGATAATTGATTATTGTTGTAGCCTGCGCGTAGGCGGGCCGTTCCCCGCTCCCATCCCAGGGTGTCCAGTCTGCAATCACGGTTGAAAATTATGGAATTTTCGATCACCTGAAAATGATATTAAATCAAGTCAAAAGCCTTGTTCCGACCACTTTTGGTATTCAGAAAAACTTTGATTGCTATTTCTGACCACTTTTTGCTTTCAATTTGATATAAGATCACTTTCAGGTGATCGAAAATTATTATTCCATAATTTCCGGCCGTGAATATTTGAGTGCTTGGTAACTATAAGGTTCCTAATTCCACTTGATCACTATTAAATTTCTTGATTTGAGCTAGTTTGCTATGAAGTTTACCTCCTTGTAATCTTTGTTGGCTAGGGACTAGGGTCTCAAGATGGGTTTCACCCAAAACGCACCTTAAGCAGTTGCTGCAAACTTTCCCGTAAGGTCAAATTCATACCTTATTTTTTGGTGAGGTGTTCTGAGCAAGTCGTAACTATATGAGACACTTTTAAATCCGTACCATACTCAAATTAATCCTCTTCCACACCGGCCTACCATACTCAAATTAATCCTCTTCCACACCGGACTGGCCCAATTAAAGAGTAAAGTGTTGGGCGGATTGGTTTTTCCATACGAGAAGGATTCGAACTTCCGGCCTCTCTTAAGAAAAAAGAGGGCACTACCACTCACACCAACTAAACTGGTAAAATTCATACCTTATTTATTGTTGTTTAGTAAGATTTGAGACTTATTTTAAGTTAGATTAGATTGATCGGTTAAACTATGTATTGGGACAAATAATCATGGTTAAACACGTCATTAGATATAGTTGAGCTCATAGATTTCAGACTCGTCATTTCACGCCGTCTGCTAAATGTTAATATTTCATCATTATTTTCAGTGGTGCTAAGCTCATCATTACATTTAATTCACGTGTTGCTTTCGGAAATATTTTCCCGCGTAATACTACAGGTACTCCAACAGTAAAAAAAACTATTATGATGCAATCATAAATCGGTGAAGCTTAGTTAGCACAAGTCATACTGAATAGGTAAAATTATGGTTTAATTCCACTTTAATTTCTTTGCTTGTTTAATGAGTCTCAATGAAGTTTTTTTGTCATTAAAGACTTACAGCATGTTTGCTTCACGAAATAAATTTTGAGATAATAGGAATGTTATTCCATAAGGAATGGAATAGGCAAGAAATAGAATAGAAATTGTATTTTATTGTTTGGTTCGCGAAAGGAATAGACTTTAAGAATTATATTACAGTGTTTAATTTGGTTGATTTAAAGAATAGAAATGAAATATGTTTTAAAAGACATAAATACCCTTATAAAATATGTGATGGTGGCAATGGCGGTGGCGGTGGCGGCGGTGGCGGTGGCGATGGCGGCGGTGGCGGTGGGGCGATGGTGACGGCGACGGTGACGATGGTAGTGGTGGTGGTGGTGGCGGCGGCAGTGAAATTTAATTGGGGAGTAAAATAAGAAATAGAAACTTTAGCCTATTCCTGAGAACTTAGGAATAGCCTAATATCAGGGAGGAATCTCTATTCCCCTTGCAAGGGAATTAGATCATTCCCGGGAACATTGTTCCTGGAAATACAAGTGATTACCAAATAGAGGAATATGTCTATTACTGGGAATGTTATGACATTTCAGGCCTATTCTGTGAACCAAACAGCCCATTAATTACACTATTTGGTTCACTTACGAGTTTATTTGACTTTTTTTCTTTTAAAAAAATATTACCCTAAATTAACTAAATAATGAAGTGATCGAAACTCGAACTCTCGACGAAGATATACTGGTGATTTGACTAATTTCATAAGCTCAACAGCAAGGCACTCGTGAGAAATGGGAAAACTAAAAAGATAGGTGAGCAGATGATGTTGTGGAATCGTATCCACTCTGCAAGGTGGACACGGTTCTGTATTCATAATTACTGAACTATATGTTTATAATTATAAAGTTATATATTCATAATTTTTAAACTTCATATTCATAATTATTAAACTCTATATTCACAATTACATAACTCTATGTTCATAATTATTAAATTATATGTTCATAATTATAAAGCTATATATTCATAATTTTTGAACTTCATATTCACAATTATTGAATCTTTATACTCATAATTACAGAAATATATATTCATAATTATGTTCACAACTCTATGTTCATAATTATAAAAATATATATTCATAATTTGTGAACTATATATTCATAATTATGAACAGTTTTGAAACCGTATCTACCATCGTAACATAATTTGCCGTTTAAGTCTTGAGTGGCATGACAAGTTTTGGGCTTAGCAGCTAGAATCAGTCAAGCAAGCAATTATATGGATGGTGTTCCATACCCCAGTTTACATGACTAAGTAATAATACTTTTTTATTATTATGGTGTTATTAGTCTCCAACTAATTATAATTAACACTCTCATCAAACCTGTTCATCAAATTTTAATTAGTTAAATGTCCATCTGATATTCGGGTCCGCCGTATCTTTAGAGAATCCACAATAGCGAATTTTAAGAGGGTTTAAGGAGGCTTAAGCTTAATTATGTGGAAGAGAGAGGAAGAGGATAGATAAAAAAAAAAAAATAATAATAATAATAATAATAATAATAATAAATAAATAAATAAAGTTACAGGAGAGACTGGTTTTTGTCTTCTATTGTGGGACCCGCGCAAATAATAATAATAATAATAATAATAATAATATTAGGACTATGTGGTCTAATGGTACCCGGGTTAGACTTCCATTTGGAAGGTTGTAAGTTTGAGTCTCAGTGGAGGCGTTACTAACTCTTTGTGTTTCAGTAGATTGAGAGGCGTTACTAACTCTTTGTGTTTCAGTAGATTGAGAAAGTATATGAACAGATCAAAGTTGGTGCGCGTTAAGCTGTCAAACACGGAAAAAATTTACATGTGATCCATCATCCCCTAAGCAAGGATACTCAAGGTATCATTACGGGGCAAATTGTAGAATCAAGCACTTATCACTACGTCAAAAGTTATAACTAGTAGTAAAGACACAACAAACTTTATTTTCTTATACTTGTGTAGCAAGTTTTGGCTCCCCAGAGGACAACATGCTCTCGGTGGGATTCAAAACCCGTGACGTTTGTTTTGATACCCAAAAGTTATAGCTAGTAACAAAAGCGCAACTTTATTTCTTTATACTTGTGTAATAGTCAACATCATGCATGGTCTGATGGTAGGATACTGAAATCAACTCTTCGAGCTACAACCCAATACAAACAGTGCTGAGGGCTGAGGAGTGCTAAATTCTTGGCCCGAGTGGTTTTGGGGATTCTCCCCTCCATTCCAATTTTTATTGTATGCAAATTAAATTCCCCATATATCAGGAATAGTGTTTCCAAGAAAGTTGAAAGTTTATGTTGGATGATGTTCAATGATTCAGTTTATGCGTGTCTGGTGGGAACGAAGAACGGCCAAAAACGTAAAACAGCAAACACACAAAAAGTTTTACGGCACAGTTAAATTTCAATTCAATGACTAAAGTGGATTTCAAAAATGGGTCACCCTGCCGAGTAGTTGAAACATGATTTTTTATATAAAAAAAAATTATGAGTTTGATTATTGTCAACACTCTCTTACGAGTATGAATTCTATACCTCATCGTTTTGATCCAAGATCCACAATGCTATGTAAACCCTGGTCCATAATATAAATTTTCGTAAAAATTAAGTCGCATATTATCGGAAAATCATCATATAAATAGAAAAGGAATTCGAACCCCCTCTCATATAAAAAAATCAATTTGACCAGCACTTTGCCCCTTAATTTTGTCTTGTATGAACTTAAATGTGTCTCTTACTGTTATGGTCTCAAGACACCTCGTGGTCTGACAAAAAATAGAAAAGGAATAACCCAAAATATAAGAATCCAGTAAAAGCCCGACCCAAAGGAATTACATATTACGCTTAACGCTTGCTAGATTTCGGGCTTCGGTTTATTGGGTTTGGATTTGGACTGTCTTAATGATGTTATTTGGCCCATATTTCCAACTAATAACAACCTTAGAAGGTGTTGGGCGGTTATGAACGCCTGGGTTTTCGCGGCACCTCCAGTCTCCTCTTTTCCTTTCTGATTCTTTCCAACTAAGAAGAAGAAGAAAAAAGAAAACATAGAACTAGTCAAAAAACAAAAGAGGAAAAGAAAACATCATATCTCTCAATCTCTCTGTTTTCCCATGCGTGTTTGAGGTAAGAAATTTCTCAAAATTCACTAATTATTGTTCTGGTAAACAAGAATGGATGTTGGGGAAGATTCCCATTTCCATCTGTTCTTGAAATTTGATGTTTTTTTCCTTAAAAAACAGTTTTTTTTTTTTTTTTTTTTTTTTTTTTTTAAATGTGGGTTGTGACTTAACCCTTTAATGCAGTATCAGTTCTTCATTGATGCATTGATTCATACATGTTGCATCATTGTTTCCTGCATTGGTTTTGAATAATTCATCTTAGAAATGTGGATTAGAGACAAGAAATGCATATCTGTATCTTAGTATCTATATCTGTAATTTTATATAAGGGTGTAAGCGAACAGAGTTTTCGGTACACTACTCGTGTACATGTTTTATAAAATAAACGAACAGAATTTGAACATTTTTAGGCTCGTTTGCTAATAGCTCGTGAAGAAGCCGGCTTATTGTTTGTTTAATAATGTTCAGGAACATGCACGTTTAGTGTTAGTTTAAAAATGTTCACGAACAGAATCTTTTTAATATTAGATGTTACTTTTAGACTTGTTTGTAGTTGTTATGTTGTTTATTGTTTGGTTATTGTTCGTGAACCTAAACTATTTCCCTAAATTATGATTATGAATATGTACATATGTACATATGTTTGTTTGTTTGTTCGTTTGTTTAGTTGTTCACAAACACAGTTAATTGACCAAACAAACAAACATGTTAGCAAACTGTTCACGAACTTTAATGAACGATTAATAAATGAACACGAAACCCGGGGGTGGTAGCTCAGATGGTAAATGCTCTTTGTGGGGGAGAATTTCGGAGCAACCCGGATTCGATTCCCCCTGGGCCAGTTCCCAATCTCTCTGAGAGAAAAAAAAAAAAAAAAAAAAAAACACGAACAATATTTTCAAAAATCTTAACAAACGAACATGAACAAGCTATGCTGATTCGTGTTCAGTTCGTTTATGCTACTCTAAAAATTAAGGTTTTGTAGGAGGATTCTGGGAGGAGTGTTGGAAGCCTGCATTTCTGGTTCTTGCTGAGAGGTTACTTTTGACTAAAACAATGTTTGGGTTTGGGAAGAAACCTCCTGCTTCTGCAAGTGCAAGCCCTATGCAGTCTGCAGATGAACCTCCAGCTGCAAGGAGGACATCTTCTGAGCCAAATCTCAACTTTGATGACATGTCTGTGCAAGAGCTGGAGAATTATGCGGTGAACCAGGCTGAGGAGACCACGAAAAGCGTCAACAACTGCCTCAGGATCGCGGAGGACATTAGACAGGACGGGGCGAAGACCCTCGAGACGTTGCACAAGCAGGGGGAGCAGATTCATAGGACTCATGAGATGGCTGTTGAGATGGACAAAGATTTGAGCAAGGTTTGCCTGTTGTTAAAGTGTTACTGCATTTTTGCTGCAATGTGAATTCAGATATGGCTTGATGATCAATCTTTTTGATAAATATATATGATGCAATCCTTAATGTGGAGCTAAAAATAATAATACAGGATCAATTGCATTTCACTTTCATGGCTTTGGTATCATGTAATTCCATGGCTGTTTCTCAATGTAGCATGACTTCTTTTTTAGTTTTGGGTGATGAGGGAAACCTGCAGCCAATATTTGAGAGTGTGTATTGGGTAAACCCTGCCTTGTGACTCTAGCCGGCAAAGAACCTCCACAAAGAGTGAACCAGCTTAGGTTGCTTATAACTAACCGGCTCAAACCAATAGGCCGCTCCCGTAATTCCATGGTTGTTTCTGAATGTAGCATGACTTCTTTTTTTGTTGGGTGATGAAAGAAACTGATACAAGTGTTGCTGCAGTTATTGTTATTATTATTATTGTAGTAGTGGGATGACCACTTCCTAGTTATTGTAGTAGTAGTAGTGGGATGACCACTTCCTAGGTAGTTAGAGCATTTAAGGTAGTGGGTAGTTTTTATCTTCTATAAATAGATGCCTAGGTATTTGAAGAAGGAACATCTGGGGAATTTGGAATTTGGCTTCCTATTAAATGGAAGATTGGGGGAGAAGAAGCACTCCGTAAAAACGCTTCATTTGGGGAGAAGAAGCACTCCAGAAAAGCTTCGTTTTTATTCCTAAGTTTCTAAGCCTATGACGCGATCCTAGATATCTTGGCCTATAACAGAAACCCACAGCCACCATCCGAGAGTGTATATTAGGTAAAGGTGGCCAAACCCTAGGCCAGAGCCGGGCCCGGACCAGGCTTGGGCCCTAGTTAGCATTAGCTCGGGCTGGCCCATATATTCAAGGCCAGTCACGGGCTAAACCCAAAATTTTTAAAATATATAAATTTTTATAAATTGATGTATTTTGTTGAAATGAGATTTAAACCCTTAACCTCCTAGTTACCAATTTAAGTTAGGGGCTCAGGCCGGTCCCGTGCCGGGCCTCGGGTTTATTTTTAAATGACCTGAACCGGCCCTACAAGCCGTTTCCGGTTCATGCTAAGTCTGGCCCAGGCCCACTTTTTTGGGCCGATTCAAGGTTAGTTTGACCATGAATCGGCTCGTGGCCACCTCTAATATTAGGTAAATCCGTCCTTGTAACCCTAGTTTGCAAAGGGCCACAGGGGGTAAACCAACCTAGGTTGTGCATAGCTGATCAGCTCAAACCAATAAAGCCAATATGCAACTATCATTGGAAGTTGAACTTGTAACCTTGTTGTTACCAAGCCAACAGCCTGACCAACATGACTTCTCGTTAGTTGAACTCGAGTGAAACCTTGATATTACAATGGCATTATTGTTAATGGTGGATGAAGTTGTACATTTGCAGGGGGAGAAGTTATTGAATAACCTTGGGGGAATGTTTTCCATGCCATGGAAGCCAAAAAAGACTAAGGAAATCACAGGGCCTAAGACTTCAAAAGGTTTTATTACATTCTGCATTTTGGCATCTCAGAAGATATGTAATTTCATGGTAAAGTTGCTTATCTTGGCTGCTTCTCAGATGATAATAACCACAAAGGAAAGAAAGGTACTAAAGAGCAAAGGGAGAAGTTGGGACTCAATACCAAGGGGAAATCGGCACCGACCACGCCTCCTAATGAACCGCAGAATGCTATGCAGAAAGTCGAGGTGCGTTTTTCTGTTACATCATGTAATCGTCGTGTTTCTGTTGTCGTTCGGTTGTCTTGGTAACCCGTACGAATATGGTTTTGTCTCATCCTCGTGCCCCGGTACTTGTATGAATAATATGGTTTTGCCTCATCCCTGTGCCCCGGAAACTCGTATGAATATGGTTTTGTCTCATTCCCGTGCCCCGGTAACTCGTATGAATATGGTTTTGTCTCATTCCCGTGCCCCGGTAACTTTTACGAATATGGTTTTGTCTCATCCCGTGCCCCGGTTTCGTGGGATCAATCAGATGGAGAAGGCAAAGCAGGACGATGCACTCGATGATCTTAGTGACATATTGGGTGATTTGAAGGGAATGGCTACTGATATGGGAACGGAACTTGACAAGTTAGTATTCTCATCTTTCATTCTAACTTTTTCCTAAACTAGAAAATGACGGGTTTAGTCAACCCGAGATACTAAGCCGGGAAATTTCCTCGTTAACCACCTCCCCGCTTTAATCCAGGCAAAACAAAGCTCTAGACAATCTCGACACGGATATAGACGAACTGAATTCGCGTGTCAAAGGCGCCAATCAACGCGCTCGCCATCTCCTCGCAAAGTAAAGCGGACGCGGATCGAGCTCTATCATCGCCATATCCGCTTTCCTGCACACCCGAAACCTCTACATACATATATACATACATACATCCACTAACTCACTGCATTCCTTTAGCCTTTCTAAGCTAGTTTTTGTCTTCTTGTATTTCAAAAGTTCGGTTCCCATTTTTAGATTTTGTTGTATCTATTGCTTGTATATCATGAATTGATTGTTTAGCCTCAATAAAATGAGGATAACAAAAACAAAACACTCTTTCTAATACCTTAAGTAACACTCCCTATTTCCCATGTTTTAATGTGTTTTGTTGTAATTAATGTTTATGAAACTTTGAATATTAGCCAAAGGCCCAAGATTTAGCTGTGATTAATATTTGATTAGCAATAATTACGTTTGACAAATTTGATGTTGTTCAATGTTCATTGTCCCACAGCTTTAACTACAAGTCCTTTTAAGACATTAATATAAGTCTCTGTCTGTGATATAGATATATCATATATGCAGTTACAGCATAAATGCCAGAAATATATATGTGTGAGAAATTAAACTCTGCAAGCCTTGTGCGTGATGCATTTGATGAGATGCTTGCATACTTGTACTTCTCAAAGCTATAAATAACCTCACATTTTCCCCTATATTTTTCAATAACCCTTACCGTTGATCTACTCAGATAGCCACACTTAAAAGAGGAACATGTTCTCATTTGATTCTATCCCTATCTACTATCTACTATACTAATAAGAACCCAAAAGAGTTAGGCCTATAATGGATAGAAAAAATGGCGGTCAAATTTTTTAATCAAATGAATGGCTCAGATTGATCAGATTTTAATTTTTCATTGAAATTTACTAATTTATCCTTAATGAATATGATTATCCGTTAAATATTATCTTTTCCGTTAATTTCTATTAGTTCACCGTTAACTTACTCATTGATTTGAATAAGAAAGGTCTTAGGTTCGAACCCCATTCCAATCAAAGTTGGCATAATTAGTACTCTATTTTACTCTGATTAAATTAAATAATAATTTAGTAGCTACAACAAAAAATAATACATATGCATTTCTTTAGTTTAGAATTATGTGTCTATAATGTCTTTATTCAAAAAAAAATTATTCATTATCAATAAATTAAATAAGAGAAATAATTTCATTACTTATATTGTCTTTATTTTTCTCCAATATAAAAATTCTTTACATTCAAAATTCAAATTCATCAATTGATTATATTCGCTACATTATCCCTACAATGTCTTTATTAAAAAAACTATTCATTATCAATAAATTAATTAAGAGAAATAATTTCATTAGTATATTGTCTTTATTTTTCTCCAATGTCGGTCAAATTTTTTAATCAAATGAATGGCTCAGATTGATCAGATTTTAATTTTTCATTGAAATTTACTAATTTATCCTTAATGAATATGATTATCCGTTAAATATTATCTTTTCCGTTAATTTCTATTAGTTCACCGTTAACTTACTCATTGATTTCAATAAGAAAGGTCTTAAGTTCGAACCCCATTCCAATCAAAGTTGGCATAATTAGTACTCTATTTTACTCTTATTAAATTAAATAATAATTTAGTAGCTACAACAAAAAATAATACATATGCATTTCTTTAGTTCAGAATTATGTGTCTATAATGTCTTTATTCAAAAAAAAATTATTCATTATCAATAAATTAAATAAGAGAAATAATTTCATTACTTATATTGTCTTTATTTTTCTCCAATATAAAAATTCTTTACATTCAAAATTCAAATTCATCAATTGATTATATTCGCTACATTATCCCTACAATGTCTTTATTAAAAAAACTATTCATTATCAATAAATTAATTAAGAGAAATAATTTCATTAGTATATTGTCTTTATTTTTCTCCAATGTAAAAATTCTTTATATTCAAATTCATCAATTGATTATATTCACTACATTGTCTATTTTTTTGTGCATTATTTGTTAATTAAATATCAAAGTTATAATACAAAATAATGCTATATATTTATTTACCAAGTATTTTATTAATACCATGAAAAAATTTAAAAAAATTTAAATTAATAAAGCCAATCATATTAACTACTTGAGGGATTTATTGACAAGAGAGAGTATTCAAAATTTCAAATCAGACAACAAATTGAAGTGAGAAACTACCTCGTAATGTCCTTGTTTGACAATCAGCAGTTAGCAGTTAGCGTTAACGGATTATATTAGTGTATTTGACCAGCGAATTATATCAACGGTTGGTAAAAAGATATTTGAAAAAATTAACTTTTAAAATTAGCATTTAAAATGACCTAAGGGTATACATTTAATAATAATAATAATAATAATAATAATAATAATAATAATAATAAATTTTTTTTTAAAAAATATAGATGTGTTTTGGAGAAATCATTCTAAAAATCGCTAAGTGAAAATATTGGAAATTGCACTGTTTGTATTTTCAGTGGTTTGGAACAAATTGTTGCTTCAAACTGTTGAATAATTAAAACACTTTCTTTAACATTTTGATCTTTGGGTTACATCATATTTTTCAATCGTCCAATATCTTTGGGTTACATTATAATTAAAATTTTTAAATTTTTACTACATCTAAATTCCTTAAATTAGGAATTTCTTTATCCATAATAATTTATTAAACAATAATGGTTGAACTAAATGAACACTGAGCAAAACACATAAAGGACTGGTACCGTTGAGTCATTCATTGATCTTGTATATATGCGCATTCATTAAATATATTAGAACCCTTTGCAACAAAAATACTTGATTACTATTTAAAAAAAAGTTTAGTAATAATTATAATGAATCTCCTATATTACATTGTATTCATATACTATGAATTACATATTTAAATAAACAAATTAGACATTAAATTACTTATGCTGAACTTCTCATATATAATCTTGCATTGATATACTTTCAAATATTTATTTAATTATAAACATTGGATAGAAAAAATGACCGTCAAATTATTAAATCAAATGAATAGTTCAGATTGTTCAGATTTTTATTTTTCCTTGAGATTTTCTAATTTATCCTTAATTATATGATTATTCAATCCGTTAACTTTTCCATTAAGTACCGTTAATTCAGCGTTAGTCTAATTCTAATATTAAAGTCTAATATAGAATTATAACTACAACATTAATCTAATTCTAATATTCAAGTCTTAATAGAACTCTAACCACAAATCCGGCAAATTATGCTTTGAGCATGTGCCCACCTTGCAAGGTGGGCACGGTTCCATATTCATAATTTCTATACTGTAGATTCATAATTTCTATACTGTAGATTCATAAAATTTATACTTTAGATTCTAATTGTTGAACTCTGTTTTCACAAGTTAGAGAACTATATGTTCATAATTGATAACTATACAGTTTAGAAATTATGAATTTAAAGTACAGAAATTATGAATCTACAGTGCAGATATTATAAATCTGCAGTATAGAAATTATGAATCTACTGTATAGAAATTACGAATTTACGGTTTAGAAATTATGAATCTAAAGTATAGAAATTATGGATCTACAGTATAGAAATTATGGATATGGAACCGTGCCCACCTTGCAAGCTGGGCACGTGCTCACAGCATAACGCTCCTAATGCCGGAATCTCCTCAAACAATATTAGTATATATTTAATATTTTATGCTTTAATTTTTATTTGCTCTCCCTTATATCCCGTATTTGGTTTCAATCATACCCATACAATTATTTTATTGACAATTATAATCAATCTTGACTATATTATCTTGCATTTGTAAACTTAGAATTACCAATTTAAATATGCAAATTCAATATTCAATTATCTATGCATGAACATTTCCAATATAATCTTGCCTTGACATACTTTAAAATATATTTAAGAAAAACATTGGGCATTATCCCAATCGCGCAATGCGCGTAAAAAACTAGTATATATAGAATCAGGTATAAATGAGAATTACTCTCGGATTGTAATTTTTTTTTAAAAATGACATTTCTGTAATTACACTTGCGCATTTGAAATGCTTAATTGTACATTTGGAAATACTTACAAATTATACAACAATAGTTATAAAACTGTTACCAAGTATTTTTTTCCTTTTCAGCCCTTCATCATCTCCGATGGACGGATTGGAGCTATATATATATATATATATATATATATATATATATATATATTGCTTTCAATGGTTCTCTGAGTATAGTATTACCAGTTATGGTCCCAAAGTTTTAAACTGACCAGAGATAATCCTCCAAGTTTCAAAAAGTGACCTCTCGTAGTTCTCCCTTAGTCAAACGGATAGTTATGCTGTGGGCTCGTGCCTAGCGTGCATCATGGGCACGGTAACGGTGCCGTCAGGCACCGTTATCTTCCCTTTTTTTTTTTAAAAAAAAAAAAAAAATTAATTTCAGACCGCTTCGTTATAGGAGCATATATTCACAGCTTTGTGTTCATAATTTCATAACTGTACATTCATAATTCCATAATTGTACATTCATAATTCTATAACTGTACATTCATAATTCCGTAACTGTACATTCATAATTCAATAACTGTAAATTCATAATTTTCGAAGCTCTATGTTCATAATTGTAAGTTCATAATGTCAGAGTTCTATGTTCATAATTTCATAACTGTACATTCATAATTCCATAACTGTACATTCATAATTCCATACCGAACATTCATAATTTTCGAAGCTCTATGTTCATAATTGTAAGTTCATAATTCCATAACTATACATTCATAATTCTATAACTGTACATTCATAATGTCATAACTGTATATTCATAATTTCATAACGAATATGCCGTTAACGCCGTTAACGGCGTTTCGAACAAATTTTTTTTTTTAATTAAAACAGCGTCGTTTTCACGGAAAACGACGCCGTTTTAGCGCCGTGCGCACGTACACATAGCATAATTTGCCTAGTCAAACCGTGAATTAGGTATTAAAATGGAGGGCAAACCCGTCTTTTTAGAATCTCGTCCTTTTTTCTCTGTAATTTTAGTCGTTTTTCCTCATGGGACGAGTCACCGTTCACCGGAAGTTCATTGAGCACCCATCGTCTTAATTAAAAATTGAGAAAAAATAATTGAAATAACGAAAAAAAAAAAAAAAGAAACAATAATCAAAAAGTTGATTTTACCCTCCATTTTAATGCCTAATTCACGGTTTGACTAATGAAATAGCACGGGAGGTCACTTTTTTAAACTCAAAGGATTGTATGGTCAATTTAAAACTTTCAGACGTATTAATTTTATATATATATATATTTTGAATTAGATATTAATTTTTTATATATATACGCATTGAGAGGGAAAGAAAGAGAGAGAGAGAGCCTCCA